CTGCCCACGCTCCAAGCAACCCGGCCCCTCAAACTCGGATTGGTTCTACAATTCCCAGACACTCCATGGGACTGCCGTAGATGCTTACATTGGGGTGGTTGGTGATTTGGTGGGTCTGGCTGTTTCTCGGCAGCCCGTCGCAGTCCCAGATGGCGGTCGTGTCTGGGAGCCTCTACACCAAGCCCCTCCGAAGGTTTCGGGTCCGATTCTTCCATGGTCACGTCAGCGGGTCGGACTTAGACTCGGTCCCAGGGGCAGGGCTCAAAGGTTCAGCGGTGCTATCACTCATTCCAGTACAGTGCTTAAGCAGTTTCTTCTCCTGTGGGCGGTCTCGCAGTCGCAAAGGCACAAAGACTCACAAAGGCCAGGGCTCATATAGGGCTCATAGGGGTGAAGATTGGCCATTTTGGGGGAGTTCCAAGCAAGGCACTGGTTGAGATCTTCAAAAACCTTCCCAACTTATAGACCATCCATATACCCTCTCCAAGCACCAAGCGATTTTTCAGGAGGTACGACTGGAGCCTCATCTGGGATCATTTCGACCAATTGCCAAAGCTGAACCTGGACCTTTGACCTCTTCACCCTCCGCCTCCGGCTCCCTGTCGTACCTCTTCAGGTTTGGTCTTCCGACTCCCTGTCGCCGTTTTTTCCCCCCTTCGAACACAAGGCTCTCTCCCCGCTCCCCTCGCTGGGTAGGCGTTGAATGGATCCCGCCAGTATCGATCTTCTAGGTGTCCACTCCAAGCCCCCCGACCAAACTCTTCACGTTGGTCACTCCCCGACTCCCACCGCGATTGAATGAATCCCCAAAACACTCACTCCATCGACTTCATGCCCAAACACGACCCGAACCTGGGACTGCCGATTTGGACTGCCGAGAAACGGGCGTTCGGGGTGGTTTGCGGGGGGTCTGTCTGGGGCGGCAGTCCGCCCTGGCAGTCCCATTAGTCGTATCTAGGATGTACATGAGGTCGCCCCCTGGGCGTGTCTGGGCCAAGTCTGACTGCGACAGTTGGCACGTGCGGGCGGCAGTTGGCCCGTCCATCGTGGCGGTTGGCACCAAAGGCATCTAGACCTGAGATGCCGCAGAAGGGAGGTAGCGACCCATTTTTCAACCTCACAAGTCCAGGGCCTGGTCACCAAGGAAAAAATGTACAATATATTTTTATTTCAGGGCATCAACTTATATAACAACATTGAGAAAAGCACCCAGGTCGCAAAACCAAGATCACGAGACTGGAGATGGATCATGGCTTTGTATCATGGGTATATCCTTCCTCATCAACTCAATGATCTCTCTTGAGCCGGATGAGATTCAGTGGCGCAAAACGCCCACTTGACACAAGTTTCGGAAAATGCCCCTCCGAAATCAGTCATCATATTGTGCGGGGCTTGGTGGTGCAAAGATCGTTCCAATTCCATAAATTCTACAGTATCACCTGACCAGTTTCACGTGCTGCATAAGAGCCTATGTATAATAAGCCCATATATGGTTCACATGGCGCCGGTCATAGCTTCGCGGGAAGAATCGCTTCGTCAGGTGTGTCTGGAGATGTCTGGCTCGTAGAAGGAGCCAGACGCACCAAGACCACAAGGCAAGACCGGCGGGTCAAAGCCCAAGGACCCACACGGTCCGACCATGAGGGAGGCCCACCGAAGCCGGGTGCACGAGGCGCCCTAACACAGCGCAGCAACAGCATCAACAGCACCACCAAGCCCACTGGCATATTGACCGATCTACATTGGGTGCATATTTATAAGAGGTGGTGGTTTGAGGGGTCAACTGATCGGCAAATATTCCAGTCCCATCGTTCGCATCTGGGAAGAGAGGTTGAGACACCTGAACGGAATGAAAGGACCGGGAATCACCAGCAGAGGTTGAAGAACCCTAGTTCGACTATCCTATAGGTACCCCTGGTGACGGTCCTAGTTCAGGTCACGTTCCACCTCTGTTGGAACCTCTCTTGGAATGAGCACAGTCCGTGCATCATCCTGCGTCCAAAGCACAGTCCGTGCGTCCCACCACAAGCCGCTCCAATTCGAGCGCGGCGGTCTATACCTGAGGCCGGAGCGTCGAACTGGGCACCCAACAAGAAGTCGGTGGGGATGTTCCAGAGAGTCATGGGTTCCAGAGAGTCAAACGGCCTCCGATGATTCCTTTTTGATGGTGGGACTGGAGTGGGGTTGGGACGTCGCCATGCAGCCATCCAACTCTTCCACTTAGGCAGTTCGGTGCATGGATGTTCTGGTGAAACTACCCAGACACTCCATGTATGCCATATATGCCGTCCCATTGACCCCTCTGGCACCACCCCTGGCCTGATCGCCAGTCCTATGGCAGTCCCATGGGTCGTGTCTGGGCTATGGATGTTCTGATGTTCTGGTGTCAATTATGGATTTTCTGGTGCCAGAAGCACCCCGGTCCAACTGAACCACCCCACCACGAGCACCGCTCGCCCGCTCGCCCGGAGCTTCCGTGCCCGCCACCGAGCTGCAAGTCCCTCGTGTCTCGTCGACGACGACCACACGTGGGCCCGCCACCGCGGCCCGCGACGGACGCGCTGCTCAGCGCCGCTGGATTTGAACCGTGCACGGCGCGGGCGAGTCAATGTGTGCCGAGTGTGGTTTGTTTGCCAAGCCGAGCGCGAGTCCGGACGTGTCCGCGGAAGATTTGGGGGCTTGGGGCGACCCAGCCACAACAGCCCGCGCGGAATGGAGCTAGTTGGAGCCCGGCTGGAAGAAAGTTCGAACACTCCGCGATGACCTCCGCGATCTGTTGGTCCGCATGCTTGGAACGGTATACAAACAGATCTTCCAAGATATTGATGAACAGGCACGTATGTCGGAAGATCTAAACTTTAGGAATCCACATACCTTCTCAGAAGGCACAACTGGACCTATTTATATAACAGTATCTCCAATCACCGTACCTGAGAAGGCACGACAGGATCCCTATATGGAAACATGCATAAACTTGAATACGAAACGTTAAGCTGGTTGGTGGCCTCAACTCATGAACAAACATAGTCAGTGGGTTCAATCATCCCAGTGTTAAAGTTGAATTATACAAATATCATATTTGAAACCACCACTGAGTAAGTGATAAAGCAAGGCACACCTGCCCTGACACATAAATCATCTAAAGACCTTTAACTTTACAGGTCCTGGTACCGTACCCTCTGGACTCAGTCGCTCCCTCCTGGATGCAGCCAAGTTCAGACGCAAAGCTGAACAAATCTACCACTGCAAGTCCAAAGATCCAGACCTGTTCCTGTACCTCCCTGAGTAGTGTGAACTTGTATGACCAACTCCAGTATTTCATGAGGTCATTGACCGGGTATGCAACATCTTCCCCTCTCCATCCACCACTGCACAACCGACACTGCGAATTGTGACGGCGTCACAATCGCCGAACCCGGACTGGACATGTAGATCTGAACATTGAACATTCAAAGAATGGGAACGATCTGGTTCTGTCCCCATAGAGTCCAGGTACCTCTGTACTTCGGATGGTCGAACGGAGGTGAGTACGTGCTTCCAGAATGGTCGCAAGGGGGGTCGTGTAGGACATCCGATTCGGATGGTCCTGGACCCTTAGGGGTCGTGTAGGAATCAGACGACACCATGGGCTTCTTTGGAATTCAAACCATTCAAACAATGGCCGTTCGACGAGGGTTGACGAAAGAACCTCCATTGGGTTTGTAAAACCTCTTCAGGCTTGAAAGGAGGGTGACTCTTTTGATCAAGAGTCATAGATGCTCCCTAGGGCTCCAAGTACCTTCCAAGAAGGTGTTTGAGGTGGGTTTAGAGGGTCCATACCTCCTTCTGAGGAGGTACTTGGAGGTGTAGGGGATATGCCATCCAGCGATCCCCCCAAAACAACCCAACTGCTCGGCCAGTTCTCTGCCAGTGCCCAACTGCTCGGTCATGGCCGTTTGCGGACAAATCGAGCGAAGCACAGTACATGCCAACAGAGGTTGAAGCGGTTGAAGGACCTTATAGTATATAGACTATCCCGGTTCGGTACCCCTGTAGGGTCCTAGTTCAGGTCACTTCACCTCTGGTGGTGGATGAGGGTCGAAACCAGGACAAAGTTGACCTACCAACGTCACCGGCAGGTCGTTCGCGGACCCATGGTGTGTCACGACCCATCCCCACATCCAAAAACATCCCGTTTGGGCTCCAGTCGTAGCTTCTCAGAAGGTGAGACTGGGGTGGGTTCAGAGGGTCCAGATACCTTCTCAGGTACGACTGGAGCCCAAACGGGGCTTTAAAAGAAACAAACGTCCACTTTGTCTCCGGGTTTTCGCACGCGGTTCATGAAGTAGAAGCGACCCGGCTTTGACCTGGCGGTCGACCCGAGTCGCGGCACTGACTGGTTCGTTCTGGGCCGCCGTGGTCCGATGAATGGGAGAATCAATTCCCGTTTGGGCTCCAGTCGCACCGAACCTGAGAAGGTGGGACTGGTGCTAGCTGCCAAGGCATCGAGTGACCTGGGCAACCCTTGTTTGCAGGATGCTTCAAGTCATATGCATATAACAGGTGTGCATTTTAAGTACGGAGAACATACGGAGACCTCCCAAGCGTTCCGATTTTCTGGAAGAAGTGGAATAGACTGGTCTACCCAGCCAGGCTCTTTCTATTAAGCATACACACCCAAGTGATTCAAGACTGTTGATTGTTCAGAAACCCTGCATGTTCGTTGAAGAAGCCCAGGCCCTCGATCCGGACGGCGTTCAGGCCCAGACCATCCATCGACTGACCGCGGCCGCATTGACCTACTGCTCCCGGATCCGGCCATCTCATGTCTCTTCAACTGAAAACCCTTATCCTGTCCTTTCCCTAGGGCTCCAAACCATATCCTCAGAAAGTAGAACCCCCTGGCACCCACCCCAACCACCGAACCTCAGGAGGTGGGCCAGGAGCCTAGGGTTTATAGACTCAATTCTGCACAGCAAGGAGGGAGTCTTTTTTTTGCCGCTGCAGCTCGGAACGGCACATCACTCTTCGAAGTGTTCAGCCGAGACTTGGGGTTCCTCCTCCTGGAGAAACATGCGGGTTCGGTCGGTGGGACAAGTCGCAGCAGCAAACCTTGACATGGAGGTATATAAGCCCAAACACTCCATGGACTGCTAGGACTGCCAGGACTTTGCGGATGCCACGGGTGGTATTTGGCGGGTCAGATCGGCAGTATATGGCAGTCCCAGGGAGTGCGGTGGGACTGGTTGGGATCCGTCTAAAGAACGCGAAGCGTGAACGGTCGGTCGAGGAACTCGACCACGGTTTGCGCACTATATAGTGGTCCCCGTTCACGGCCGGAGTGGAGACGGTGTTTGGTTTTGGCCCGTTTTTTTGGTTCAGAGCTCTTAGATCAAGTGGAAGGACTCACCCGTTTCAACAGCACACCCCATTGGATGCATGGCTGCCACGGACGAATCCACGTTCTGAACGGCGAGTGGAGACGAGTCCAAAGAGTCAGAGCTAGAGCTGACAAAGGGCCAAGAGGAGCGTGCGTGTGGGCGTCTTGGGGTATCAAAGAGATGGAGAGTTGAGTTAACTAGATGGAGTAGATGGCACTCGTGTCCAAGTTGGGTGGTTTATATTTGACAACCATCTGTCTCAAACATCTTGGTGTGCCAATGCCATCGAACCTCTGAAATCCCTTCATCTCTTTCGGCCCAAGGCAAATCCCCAAATCCCACATATAGTGACCAAGCACTACAATGGTTTCAGAGTAGATGGCACAATGATGACCAAGCACATCTGGTGACAACTCCCACTCCAGAAGTCACCAAGCACTACAGAGTAGATGGCACAAACACCCCAAGATCTCGTAAAAACCGCAGGGGGTCCATCTAAACCACCCAGCACTGCCTTGGAGGCCTTTGTTCGTGCCAGGCACTGCCATCGAAGCTCTGAAAACCACTGATGTCAGACATGTCATGAGATGTAGCCGATTCGGACTGCCTTCCAAAACGGGCCAACTCGGGGTGGTGGTTTGCGGTTCGCGGTTCTGTCTGGGGCGGCATACAGTCCCATGGGAGTGTCTTTTTCCGGGCGACGACACCGGACACCCTGGCGCACCCTGACCCTTTCTGGGTCGATGTGCCCGACGGGAGGCGGCTGGGCGGTCTCCCCATGTCCAACCCAGAGGCTTCATGGGACTGTATTTGTCTACCTTGACCCCTGAAAGGAACCACCACATTGTAACACCTGACTGTTACAGGTATACGACTGCCTCTGATGAGTCAGGTCTTTAAGTCGACTACTTAGTCACTCGAGGGTAGTCTTTCTGCTCCTCGAAGTGCTCCTCGGAAGCCACACCGGATTCACCGGCTTCGCCACCAGCCATTCCCTCGCTCGCGCGGCGGCAGCAGATGTCTGCCTGCGGTGGAAAACGTTTGGAAGTTGGCTTCTTGACAAGGCATTGTTTATGTTTGTGGAGTGCAGTTCTGCAAGGGCACATGGGTTCGAAACGACTTTACACAAGCTGAGTCGACTTAACGCTAGTACCTAGTAGGTTTTGTACTAATAGGACACTTGATCAGGACCTGTCGTCTTGAAGGATGCCATTACCAATCGACCTTAACACTGGGACAGTTCTGTCTGTCGGGGCATATCTTCATTCCTTGTGAATGACCTGGACAAAGCCAGCCTCCTTTATGAACCACTTAGGGAAAGAAGAGCCTGGAGATGCCTGGAGTTCTTATTGGGGCTTATGGATCGAACTGAGCCCCTTCAGTTTTGCAGAGGTGAACCCTATGCTTTCCACCTGTTCTACCATTGTGGTGGGGTGTTCACACTCCCAAAATTTGTTTGATCCACTGAACTCCTGGGTGGGATGATGGTGGAGATGGCTGTAGTACCATTCGAATTACCAGCAATGGTGGAGATGGGACACAATGGTCCAACAAAAGAGTGGAGAGTGGAGAAGGTTACACACTCCCTTTAACAATCAAGGAATTAAATAGACTGATTGCATTTTACACTTCTCCAAAAACCACACCATGTAACCATGTTGAGAAATCAGCGTAACTTGTGACATGGACTCCGTTATCGCATCAGTCGCAATGGATGATATCGGTTCGGTTGTAGGCCGACACGTGATGATCGTTGACCGAGGAACACAGGACTGGCAATGCAACACACAGTTAGACTCATGCTCATCTTGGACTCGAGGAACTAGGACAGCCAGGAAAATCACGTGCGAACAAACAGGCCTAAATTGGCCTTTCTGGAATCCATCAAACGAATCGACACTGCCACGTGCCCAACTGAAGTCCAGTTCAACTATTAAAACATATCAAAACCACCTTACCCTAGAGGGTCAAGGTTCTCCACCCTAGGCCTCCAGTCGTACCGAACCGCTTCGGTTCAGTGGGACTGGGGTGGGTGGGTGCCAGGAGGGTCCTGCCATACCGAACCGTTTAGGAGGTACGACGAAGTCGGTGTAGGGCCACTGGTCTGGGCATCGGTGTTGGAACCCTCCCAGGACTCGTTGGTGTCGAGTCCACCCCGTCCATCGCTTCGCCCAACGCCCGGGCTGAAAATTACATCTGCGAGGGTGAGGAGCACTGGGAAAGCACACCTAGGACCTAGCGGGGCCCCGGCAATAGCCAAACAAAACGACATACTGTAGTGAATCACATTCTTGCACCCACAACATGTGTCACGTTCGGAAGTGGATTCCAAAGTCCTCACTTCTGCGCCACTCCCCAAATACCAGCAACTCATCCGTATGTGAGATGATTGCAAGGTTGGCGGGGGGGGGATGTTTTCAAACAGCGGCTTGGAGTAACGTGATCTGTTTCCTGGCTCCAAATACCTTTTCAGAAGGTACTTAGACCATCCAACCTACACCAGTCCCACCTTCTCGCAAGGTTCGACTGGTGCCCTACTTGCGTAACGGACGGTTGCATGTGGGTGATCATCCACGTATGCAAATACGAACGACCAACATACCCCATTTATGACCCTACCCAGACGCTCCAAACAGCCCTTCCCTCAAAACCTAAGGAATTGAGACCCCAAACCCCTCCAAAGGATTCGGGTCCGACTCCTCCAGAGGATTCGGGCCCAGGGTCGCGTCTGGGTAATACAAGTCACTCTTCCAGTCCCCATGGATGGTCGGTCGGTGGGGGGCATTTCGACCCGAGGTACCGTGTCTCCAATGATGGCTGGGGCACCCTCCTCAGGTGACAGGCGGCGGAAGGCTGAAGACGCGTGCTGCGGGGTTACGGGTTACAGGTGGTTCCTGCTTGCAGGGTCCTAAAATCATCTGAAAATGGCTGAAAGTTTCTAGGGTGACTTTCCTACATGCCCTAAGACTCCGGGCCCTCAAACAAATAGGGATAGGGTTTGGTTCGGCCCCGGACCCCTGCGTTTCGGTGTCGGGTCCGACCCCTGCCATGGACAGCCCAAGGATTCTTAGGGTGGGACACATGATGTGTTTTAACGAGAGTCCTCCTCCTGTCAGGGTGCCCTGTCTGGAAGCCGTTCAGCTCGACTGCCATCGGCCAAACGGCATCTCCCACCCCAGGCTGTGGGAGAAGGGGAACAGCAGGGGCGAGGGTTGGATTTACCGGATTGTTGGCCTGGATAGACTGAGTCAAATACCAGCAAGTAAGTGATCACGGTCCACGGTCCACGTGATCACAGAAAGAATCGGACATGCTGGGTTTGAAGGAGAATGATTCAGTAATAACTTGCAACTACTTCTATATGTGGGATTGCACGGTTCAATCACGTTTGATGTGATGGCAACGTGTTGAACATTGTTGAACAAAAGGTTTATGCCCTAGGGCTCCAACCATATCCTCAGAAAGTGGTTAGATCCCCCAAACCCACCCCAACCACCTTCTCAGGAGATGGTTGGAGCCCTAGGGATGTTTGACGCTGTCACAAAAACGGGATGGTGCCCGTAGACCTTCTACGTCGTAGTCAACACACTGCACGTCCATTGACGCACCTGTCGCACACGAAATGCCTCGATATGAAATTATCACAATCCTGGACCCTCCAAGGGGTGTCCAATGGACTACCCCACACTAGCTGAGGTAGCTTCAGGAGCGTGGTTAGCTGACCTTTCATCAAAAAAGACATCCATGCAAATCTGAAAATCAGGGCAATCTAGAATCTAGAGACCAGGGAACCTACATGGATCTACTAACGTGGTAAAACGGTAAAACTTGCGAACGAGAAACTACTACAGTATAATTAAGATTATGATTCTATATATAGCTAGTGGCCGCGACAACAAACTCTCTGCTTGTCTCCGGCCAACCCAAAGAACAAGAAAACCACAAAACAACAAATCAAAAACCGAAGAACACCTCGGTCGACGTGTGGGGACGGGACAACAATGTATCGTCCAAAACAGCTGGACCGCCCGGACCGGCTGGTTACGCCACCGAGGCCGGACGGACCGGACCCATCCCGGCGAGCCGTCTCGTCCCGAGGTACCACGGGCTGAAACTGGTGCACGCAAGTGAAGAGCGCACCTGGGGAGACGAGACGAACACACCGGGAGAAGACGGTCACAAGTCATTCGTCATTGAGTGAGGGAAGCCGCCCGACAAAAAACCGTCCGCATCCAATCTCATGAAGAACTCTCCCATGGTGTAGAAGCAAGTGCTTCCTCTCACGCCCAACAACAACAACAAACACAAACACAAACACAAAACACAAACACGAACAAACACAAACAAACAAACAAACAAACAAACAACAACAACACCAACACCAACACCAACAAAAAAAACAACAACAACAACAACAACAACAACAACAACACCAACACCAACACCAACACCAACACCAACACCAACACCAACACCACCAACAACAACAACAACAACAACAACCACAACCACAACCACAACCACAACCACAACCACAACCACCACAACCACAACCACAACCACAACCACAACCACAACAACCACGACGACAACAACAACACAAACACAAACACAAACACAAACACAAATGCAAACACAAACACAAACACAAACACAAACAAACAAACAAACAAACAAACAAGCAAACAAACAAACAACAACAACGCCCACTAACTTCGATCTTGTTGCCCCCCCCCCCCCACCCCCCCTACCCCACTGGACGCTCGAATTCTCCGCCGCAAGCGACAGCTCTTCGCGCAGCAGGCTGCGTCGCTGTTGCCGCCCACGCCGCCGGTGATCTGCGCCGCATCGGGACGCCTTGGGAGACGGGGCGACGAGACGACCAGCGGTGTCAAGTGACCAATCCCTATAGGGCTCCTGGCCCATCTCCGTTTCGGTGACCGGTGGGCCAGGGGTGGGGTTTTGGGGGTCTAACCACCTTACCTGAGGAGATGGGGCGTTCGGAGCCCTAGGGAATATAGGGATTCATAGGGTCAATCTTACTGGAAGAGACGAGAGAGTCCATGTATGGCCTTTTTCCTCGACCATCTTGTCAGGGTGTCCTCTGGAGATCTCTAATTAGTGTAGGGTAGTCTGGTACATCTTGGGGTCATAAATGGATTGGGCAAATCTCACTATTCATCAATCGTCAGGGAGAGGTGTTTGGGGGTTCAGCTATAGAACTGTTTCATCCTTTTGGTTTGGTATACTTCGTAGGGTCCCGACGATGGATTCACTATGGTCCCGAGCTTCGTGCCTTTCAAGGCAGACTGCGACTGCAACGACACCATCGTCGCACCCGTCGCACCGACGACAGCGGCTCGTCGTGGAGTCAATCTAACTGATCCTCTTGGCGTGAGATTGGGGTGTTGAGGTGACTGTCCTTCTCAAGGTGACGGTCCTATAGTGAGCATATATGATACATTCCCCTAGGGCTCCAACATGCTCCAACCATCTCCTGAGAAGGTTGGGGTGGGTGCCAGGGGGGTCTAACCACCTTCTGAGGATATGGTTGGAGCCCTAGGGGTGATACATTCATACATATCCACACAATTCCACACATATGTAGACCCACTTTAGGTGTAACATGGTGTAACATCACCCCCTCATATCAGGACACGAGATCAAGGAACCCACACTGTTCAAAAGCATCGCTTCAGAGCAATTGGCTGTAAGCGTCAAGGGATGCAACAATGCATGTCAAATTGCATCAATAATGGCAAACAACAATGATCAAAAATGCGTCAAGGATGCAACAGGTAGCCTTCTTGGCCTTAGCTCTCGAGCATGGCATGCTCGCGTGCTCACCATCCAAAATGTGAAAGTCTTGCTTCTGGGCACGCGAGTGGTGATGTGTCACCTGCTTCGAGGGAATCTGCTGCCATGGAAGACTTCATGCACCAGGCATGCACAAAGCAGTGCAAGAGCACAAACAAATCACTAAACAGAGGTTGAAGAACCCTATAGACATCTATAGGCTATCCCCAGTTGGGTACCTCAGGTGACGGGTCCTATTTCACGGTCGCGTTCCACCTGTCTTGGCCCAGACACTCCATGTATGCCATATATGCCTACATTGGGGTGGTTTTGGGGGTCAATGTAGGCATATATATATATATGGCATATATGGCATATATATATATATATATATGCAATTCTCCAATTCCCACTGGTTTTGGTCTCTGCAAAGCCTTA